ATGTGATGTAGATCACTTCCCATTCATTCATAACTGAGGATATAGTAACCATACCATGTCCTCAATTACATACAAACACTCAGCGATCACTGACTGCTTGTACCCGCTCTCCTGACAGCTGTCACAGGAGGCTGAGCGAGCGGTGTGGGAGGAGAGCTCCGCCTCCTGTGACAGCGCTGTCTCCGCCCCCACACCGCTCTGCCGGACTGTGATAGGAGGCTGAGCGGTGTGGGAGGAAAGACACCGGCCGCTCACATCGCTCTCCTCCCGCAGCGCTCGGCCGGCTGTCACACTTTCTCTCCTCATCAATAATATAACAATAATACTTAATAAAAAAATACTAATAATAAAAAAATGATGATGATAATAATAATAATAATACTTAATACAAAATAATAATGTAAAATAATGATGATAATAATATTGCTCTACATGTGCACAGTACAGATTTAAAGGGCCGGTGTTCTCCATAACGTCTCCAGGCACACTGGACTTCGGATGTTGGATCAATAAGGGAGGAACAGAAGAGATTTTTTTTTAATTATTGTTTTAAACAAAACTTAGGATGAACTTTGCCCTCTGACACGCTGACTATCATCACTTTCTTTCTGGTATCTCCGAGTCCTTGAAAGCCATGCGTGCCGCAGCGCTGACATGTAACATGCTTCCACCTGATACTCTCTGTCACCGAGAGATAAGACGCTTTCCACCTGATAACAGAATACAGGAACATTCCTGTATTTTATGTGTAAAGTTTACAGTAACAAAGACGTAAATTTCCCAGCGAACTGTCACTTTAAATCAGCTGGAAGTAGAACTGAAGCCAGTGTTGTAGTTTTGGAGTAACCCCGCCAGATTTTTTGTGCCCCCATAGGGGAGATGTCTCTTCACTTCCTGTCCGATAGCCACAACAGGAAGTGAGAAAAAATCCCTGGAAATAGTGTCCCCCATTGAAAGATTTCCCATCTGTTCCTGTGACAACCCAATACCCATAAGCCACCCCCATTACCCAAATACAAGACCCCCCCGTCAATCCTCATTGGCAGCTGGTCCAGCAAATCTCCAATTGCAGCAGCGCTACCTAGCGGCAGATGGGGAGACACACATGCACCCTGGAGGACGTAGGACGCCGGGGCTCCTCCCTAACCCCCGCCCACGCAGTTTTCACCCAACTAGCGGCTGTTCCGTAAGGCGGCCACGCCCCATCCCGTGCTGTCATGACATTTCTTACCGATCTTTATTTCCTATCGGTATCGGAGTCCTGCTCCCGCACACACCTGCTGCCCTCCCCCCCCCTCTATGAGGCGGCGGGGCTCTACGTGACCGCAGCTGTGACCCGATAGCGATCGTGACGATGGCTCTCCTGCGCCGGGCCCTGGGGTTCCTCCTGCTGACTCTCTCCCGGCTCGTTCTGCTCATCATCCGGGCCGGCTCCG